TCCCTCGACAGCAGGCGTTTGCGCTCTTTTTTTATTACTGTGGAATAGAGGGTATTGCGCAGGAGTTGTCGCCGCAGCTTTTCTGAATCAGCTCCTGTAGGTGCCGATAGGCAGATTTGGGAGGTTTTGGGTACAGGCATTTTGGCCCGTTACGGCGAACGGCTGCTGCTGTGGCGCTCGCTTGCGGTGTTCCTGAGACCTGCTGCGGACCGATCAGCGCGCCACTGCCGTGTCCCACAAAACCCTAGAGACGGCGGCCGACAGCAGACGATCAATAGTAGCCTAAGGCCAAAAGATCAATAGCCTAAACCCTTAAACCCTAAAACCCTAAGGCCGAATGCTAACAGACAGCTTACCTTTGGTAGAGATGAACCGCACAGCCCCAAGAGGTTTTATTATGCTTATTAGTGAATAAGCATTGCAAAAGGACAAGACTCGAAGTTGCATGAAAGCTCTAGCGGAAGCAGCGGATATCCACTTTGCTACAGCGCACAAAACAACGATTGAAAAGCTGTGACCGATAGATATGTTAGGGATTTCCCATAAGTGCGCGTAACGTGATCAATCAATCGAACACCGAGCGCATGTCTGGACACAATAGTATCGAAACCATGCTACGATCAATCTCGGTGACACATGAAGGCACAAATTCAAAACTAAAATTAAACAACACGTTTATCTTGCACATGCGTACCTGCGCACTTGCCCACATGAGTACCCAAATGTGCATGAGTATGTATAAGTACACATACTTATTTGGTCATTTGGTTGCGTTTGTGTGAGCTCAAGCTGTGATATACACAGTCGCCGAGCGCAGCAGGTAGGAAGTACAATCCCGATTTACGCGTCGTATTACGGCCCTTTGGGCGTGTGAAAGGTGGTTGAAAAGCACTGAAACGGCATTCAAAGCTCTATTCCAAGTATGGCTATTTTTTCTCGATAGATGCAAACTCGTATTAATCAACGTTTACAAGCGATGCCTCGAAGGTGCTTCCTTCGGCGTAACCTTAAAACATATTAGATGTACTCAAATCGCCTTGCGATGTGTTCGAGGGGGCTACATTTTATGAGAGCGCTCTTTCACGTGCTTTCGCTAGTTGTGATTTTAAACCTTTTTAAACGCGGGACTCACCTACTGTGTGAGGAGGTTCATGTACATGCTATGCGATTTTGTTGAGGAAGTGCTCCTCTGTGCAACCCTGCTCCTGTTACTGTTGCTGTTGCTCAAGGTCTGGACAAAGTCCTCGATGCCGGCGGTTAGCGGCGTATCTTGAAATTTGTCTGCGAAGCACAAGGAAGGGCCTTGCCGTTCCGGCAACAATCAACATGATGCTGTATGGCACTGCAATGTCAGATAACTAAGCATTTGCTTACCAGTTGAGAAAACTGCTGCGAGCTTTCCTAAAGTACAATTACGGCCGTTGGGTCGAATAGTTCTCGGGTACGGCCGTGGCTTTGCTATTTGATGACATTAACAAGGTCAAAATGCGTTCTTGGAAAGTGTCGTGAAGGTATGATACACCACGAACCAGGAAATGTTGCCCTGTTATTTTTACTGCAAATCTTGATAATATGATCTATTACCGTCGTACATTTAGCAACGACAGCAGCACGCTTGCTTCCAGCTACAATCGTCATATGGAAAAGTTTGTAAGAGCACCAGTTACGCGTGGTGTTCTATGGGATTCCGAAAGCCGAGAACGCGTTCCGTAACTTTTCATACTGCCTGTTTTACTCCGCCTTCTTACAAGAACATTTAAACACGTTAAAAAAAGATTGAGCACGATGTGTAGTATTAGTATAACTCTCTATGACCTTCGCTAAAAACCTTGCTAGTCAGTCATTTTGGTCGAGGACTGAGGCATTGAACGCCGATCCTCGGTACGCATCCCCGGTACCTCTTTCGCAGCATCCAATGCAAAAATTAACACGTTTCCTGAATTAAATCTTTCGTGTAATCTTTCATACAGCAAAGCGCTTCACACAACAGGGCCGCGCGCAACTGTTGCACGAAACTGAAATCGAAGCGCTGTGCGCCCTCCGTTGTTGGAAGAGAATCAGGTGAAAAATCTATCTCCGTCTCACATATTTATAAAAATTTCATTGTAATTATCCAGGGAAGGTGTACATAAAACGACGCCGCGGAGTACAGTTCTCTTCTGCCTTGAGTCCGTCTTATTAAATGATTATTACCCGAGCCAGTCCATCCCACCCATCAATCCACCACTATGGCTCGCGCCGCGGAGCCCACCTGAAAGCCATCATCTCAACTGGCGCTTTTTCCTTCGCCTACCTTCCTCGTCCCTCTCCTCTGTCGATTGATGACTTCTTCTTACCCACGGGATTCGTGTGTTCACCAAATATAGGACCAGAGTCCTGTGTCTCTCTTTGCAACTTACCAACGAACAGCGCAAACGAGTTCGCACAAACACATCAGCAAAACACATGATCAGAAAGGTAGCCCCGACCTGCCAACCTGCCCGCAGTGCGAAAACACCCTAGCCCAGCCGAGCAGCTTTTACCCCCCTGGGCCGGGCTTAACAACACCAACCGGAAACCCAAACCGTGCGAGCCCCCCTTTTTTTCACACCAGCCCTTCCTTCAGCCGCGCCGCAGTACGCCTGGCTCCATCCTCCACCTGGACGCACCCACACCTCATGTTGCCCATTCGGTGGAGAGTCTGGTCCCTGCTAAACTGTGAGCCGCCGGGTGTCACATCCGATGTGACGTGTGCAGCGCCGCAACGAAACGGTGTTTCCTGTAATTGTCGTGACATGGGAATCCAGTCTTTGAGAGAAAAATCGTGACAAGGAAATTGTTTGCCACGATTTAGGACATGTGTTTGGGAGCTGCGGGGAACCCGTAGCATCGGTGCCTGATCATGTAATGTAATGTAATGTTACAGAGTGGGAGGCTTCTGGGCCGCTGTCAGTTCTAGATCATCTTATAGCACCATATAGCACCATCCACCACTACCACACTGTACTTCGCCATACGAACTGCAAGTCCAAGGCGGCGGATCCAGCCTTCAGGGACCCCTCCTCATCCATTCACCCGAACATCCGAAGAGACAGAGGGTTCGGCAATCGCCACCAATCCAGCGTGCGAATCTGGTCCATCAACTGTGACCTCAACTCCACATCTCAGCAGCTAGCCATAATCTCGCGCTCCCGACTAATTCGGGGGTCTCCCCAGGAATTAAACCCAGGACCTTAAACCGCTAATTGCAGTAGTGTCAACCCAGACCAGACCTGATCATGTGGCACACGTTGGTCGCCTCCTGCCCGTGTCGCCCGTCCTCGTACTTCATAGTGTGGTAGGGGTACAGGTATTACAGCGCGCCCCAGACTCCAAGGGAGTTATAACCCCGCAGGGTGGTAGGGCCAGCGGGCCAGCGTAATGTATTACGTCCACCACTGCTCTGACATCGATCCGTGTCCAGTTCCTGATTACCGCTTGTTGCAGGTCGACTTTTCACTAGGGCAGCAGTAAGAGGATGCGATCGAGTTGGGTCGGCGGTCATGACGCATAACTTTGGACGAGAGAATGCAAAACTGACTGACCCGCCCACTGACCTGCCCCTGCACGGCACGCTTTACAGACCACAGCTTCTCCCCCCCACACACACCCACACCCCAAACGACGGGAGGAGGGGGGCTGGTGCCCCTCTGAAATACTGATCCGACGATATGACATTCCCCTACCTGTTTGTATCTGCCGTCAACCACCACCGCCACTACCGCGACGGGCAACCCAGCCCTGCCCAACCCAGCCCTGCTCGCCCAAGGAAACCCCACGTCGGTACATACGTACATACGTACATACATATTTACATATTTACATACGCATACACACCCACACTCG